TGAATAACCAATCTGCAGTATTATATAAACCAGCTTGTGTTACGTAGGTGATTGGAAAGCCTAAATGAAACATTACAATACTGCAATATCTGTCTTCCTTCGGGAATAATGCAATAAATATATGAGACTGGATAATTCAAGTTACAGTCTTTTGATGTTCACCAGATGGCTTGTCATGCTTATTGAAAGTGACTAGATAACCAACTGGCATCAGTGGCCAACATCACCATCCTAAACCGGTGACTTTTAGCATCTCCAGGACAATATCTGATTCCTCATAATTGAGACTAATGAAGGTAATCGTTGTAGCAAAGTGCATATATTCCAACTGATTAGATGGCTTTTTAACCCCTTTTACTTAGTTTAGGCATATTGTTGGTGTTAAATGATATTGCTTTATTGAAATAATTTTTCGGGGCTGATTTTGATATTGACCATTGGTTGTACACCTTAAAGTGCTCTAAAACATTTCCATTCAAGGTTGCTGGAAGCAAATCAGAGTAACATCAACCCCGAAAACTGAGACTAGTATGAGAGTGTTGTCAGGTGGCTTTCGACCTTTTGACTTTCGGATCGTTACTTTCACAATATGGGTGAACGTTTATTGTAAAACTATTGCAAGTGAAAGCCTATACACCGTTCCTACCAAATGACAGATGATATTCTTAGTTCAACGAAGTTTTCGAACTTCACAGCATGCGGGGATGAAAGGGTGCAAGTACTTTACGCAAAAGCCTAGCTGCACTTTTCACTAAATTTCGAGCAAAACATAGCACGATTTTTGTCCCTAATGGTATATTGTTGTTTGACAAATTTTGGTGTACGTAATGCATTACGATTTAAATAACGCAATTTGCACTGTTTGCTTTACCCATCTGTCCGTAAAGAAATACTAATTAGAAGGCGGTTTGCGTATCACGGATGATAAGCATGAGGAAGAGAAAGCTGTGAGCCAGACGGGTCCAGGTAAAGATGTATCAAACCGAAGTGGGGTTTGAAGTAGCGTGCATCGGTAAATATGATAAACGATGAGTAATTGTCCCAGTTGATATTTGGCTGCGTGAAGGAAAACGTGTACTTTGACAGATGTCCTTACTTCATCGATTTTACTACTTGAGCTTCAAAGATGCTTTTTTTATAGATTTTTTACCTGAAATTGAGTGTAAGAAACATTCAGCAACGCAGTGCGCAGTGCGTTAATTTACCTCGATGTTCAATGAATACATTAAGTAAGAATTTTATAAAACGCAGTATTTTAAGAGGATGCAACACTTTATTCTCATAAAACAGACGCATTTCTTTATTGTGACATAAAACTAACCTCGAACTGACCATCATCAGGGATAATGCTTTTTCAGACGACAGCTGAACATCATAATTAATTATTTCGTGGGATTTTCGGATCACATCCGAAACCAGTCGTTCAAAACTGTAATTTTTGATATGGGTTTATTTAATTTTCCTGGTTTTAGAGATTCAAACAGATATACCCATTGACTTTTAGAATAAAGCTATCCTTGGTTTTTTGTTTTTCATGCACCCACGCGCAATATTCACAAAGCTACTAATTATTCATGTCTAGATTTGAGTGCAGCCCGTGTAGACTATTCTGATGTAACGGGTTTCTAGTAGTATCTAGAGAACCAGCTTTTGAGAAAAAATAGTTGCGTCTCCGTCCTCTCTCTCCACAGTGTCTCCAATAAAAAGGAGTATATCTGCCCCGTTAAGCCATGTTTTGTGAAATCGATCAAGCTCCCAGTTAGAGGCAAATAGATGGCCTGGGTCGCACCCAAGAGGGAGTCCTGTCTAATTATCAGATGGAGAAACATAAACGTGCTCGGGTCTATATCAACCCCGTTTTAATTAGGGACGAAATGAAACGAACCAGTAAGGTAGTCGATGGTTTCGAGGACAAAGCTCAGTACAAATAGGGAGTCTATTGCTCAAGGTACATTCGTAAACACTCAGGCGTATCTAAGCAACGTGAATTTTCCGAAGTCGGCATTTAACTGGGAATCATAATAAAGTATTAGATTGAAAATTGTTTGAATACAAATTAAAGTTTTGTATAACCCCTTTCGGATTAAATATGCTATAAGGACTTCAGATAGCATTTGTATCTGACAAAATAACTATGCTTATATATTATAATCTTGCGCGTTGAACCAATTTGGGGGGTTTAATTTTTGACAGTGAGAAAAGTGGCAGAAACGTCTCTCTAGTCAATACCTTTGGAGGCTCATGCAAATTCTTAGGCTTTTGACTTTACATAAGTTACGATATTTTCAAAATAACAACAATTTCGCTAGTCCCTGAGAAAAATCGTTTTCACCAGAAGTGTTATGCTAACCTTACGTAACTACTGTAGCATGCACGTTGCATGGGAATACGGTACAAGACGCTAACACCATGTGCCTGTAGCATATGCAAAGTCGTTCGCCAGTAACATTTAACGGATGCGATTGGATCACAATGGGTGTTACAAGTTTGGTACTCAAACTGTAGAACTCTGTTTCATAAGGGAAGGGAAGAGTTGTTGGAACAACTGAAGGAGAAACGGTAAAAAGTCGTTGCATTCTAAATCGTAATATGTGGCCAAATGCTGATTGATGATTCCATTCCTGTTGAAGCCGCCGTTTGTATTGCAAAAAAACCGGTGCTGTACTTGTGCCTTTGCTGTTATGTTTTTTTACTTTCGTGGTTTCCAAAGATATTGAATATCCCAGGAAACAACTTAACGACGAATATCCTTTACGTGAATATGCGTAAAGTGATTACGAATTAGATTAAGCCAAATGGTTATGACACTGGTAATCTTTTTTGGATGTCTTAAGAGTTCTCAATCTTGACAACACGAGGTAGTGGTCTGTGTGTTTTGTGTTAGAGAAAAATGTGCCAAAAAGTATCAAAGATTTCATCAGATGAATAATCATAAAGCAAATTGAATTGGAAACAAAACCAAATTAGGTGGCTTTTGCCTGCTGGAAGATAGGATACAACAAGCAGTGCAAATAGTTCCTTGACATTTATGTCACACAAGAGATGTTAACCAAGAAGAGGTTTTCAGCTCGTGTCTACAGAGGTTAAGTAACCCACCGGGATCTATCATGTATTTTGCTATAAAACATAATAATACGAGCTCACATAACGGATAAAGCAACAAGCTCGTGGAAGACGGGCACCACTCATCATTCGGTATGGTCAAAACCCCATAACGGTACCAGAAATGACCACTTCTTAAAATTCCAATACATTTTGTGGGGAATGAGAAATTGATTTGGAGGATGGAGACGTACGTTGTTGCCTGCAAAGAATGGGTTCTCGTTGTGATTGGAGAGGTGGTTAATTTTAAAAGAGCGAGAGGCGTCATGAGAGGAACCAATCTTTTTCGGGGGGAGCAAGCCTAACTTAAAAGTATTGATGCAGAACTGCTTGTTCCAATTCATTAGCTATGCACCGCGTTACATAATTGAATACCGTTTTTTGCTTAACTACAGAACGAAGCACGCACATTTTCGTCGAACCTTGTCTTAGTGGATTTGACGTCAAAATGTTGAACCCGTTCACTAGTGTACGGTTGGTGTCTGTCGGAATTATGCGATTGGTTTAAGATGTCTAGCCATTAGTTTGTGAGTATTTCTAACTCGTAATTCTTCATCATCAGATATTTTTAGGAGGAATATTGTGTATATTTTTCAAATCCGTTTTAATAAAGCATTATTCAACAGACAGTAAATTTTCAAACAACGACTACTTACAGAATACTGTAGACCAATTTTACCGAGAATTATAAACCAAGGTGAATGAATAAATCTCCGGCAAGTTCACGTTAACATTTTGATGATAGCCCTCAAAGCTCGTTTAGTTGTATCAAAGAAGAAACCTAGAGATTTTAGTTCCATTCAAGATAATTGCACCTTTTTGGAGTTTTTTAGAAATTATGGCTGAATAATGTTTTGCAGCAAAGAATTCTCGAGAGTCAACTAATGTGAGCAAACATTGAGTGTCCTTTCACTTGTAATCAAACCAGAAGGTAGTAGTGGTGATAAGGGTGTTCGAAGGGGTGATAAGTGGGATTAACTGACTGTCATTGGTGTAAATTTGGCTACGGGGATCGAAGTTGGAAGATTAACAATGTCATCCCACCGTCATGGTACGCGGCCTCAGGTTCGTTCGGCACAATACCAACATTCACTACTACTACTACTACTTGCACTCCGGGGTTAAGGTTGCTGATTTGCGAGTGAACAGTGGGCATTCGTGACCGCTGGATTTAACCGCCGGTTTTTCACAACAAAAGTATGTGTCATGAAAACCATTAAAAAACATAAAAAGTGCCAACCCGTAATCTTCTGTACTAGAAAAATGTACTTTGCACGCTCGACAGTAATATTTCTAATTTTATTGACTATCAAAATAATAAATAACACTTTCAATTCATCAACTGGAGATAATAAGGGATCCAACTGGATCGTATGGTCGATTTCATCAATTCTGGAGAAAAGTGGGCGTGAACTGGGGACCCTAGACGCAATGTAGAGCTGTTGTGAGTTGTTTGGGTCCCATCCGTGTTGAAAACCATTGACCCAAGAATTGATCATGTTTATAAAAATTGTACCGGACTGATTATTGTGAAGACTTTTGATAAGAGGAGCTGAGTGCAATCAGTTTGCAAAGATGGCGTCTACTACTTCATTCGAAGGAAAACTACTAAAGGTGCTCTGATTATCGGCCTGGTGTTCATCTGATTTATCTACCAGAGTTTTACCCATTCCGAATTCGATACTTAGGTGGGTTATTGAAAGCGTGATGAGATCCATTCAGATTGATTTTTCTGATGAAGGAAATTCTCGTTCAAAAGGATGACAAACGTTCTTTAGAAAATGAAAGTGAGGATGTACTTCACTCACTCTGTCAAAACAACTTTTTGTCCACAGCCATGCTTTATAACGCGCTGAAAAATGCACAGTATATTTAAATTCTATGGATTTTGAACTCACCGAAATGAAACATGGAGCTCACCATCACAAAGCTCCATTGGGATGGACGTTGTACGACATTAGCAGAAGATCCATACGGTCGTAGTTGGTCATTTGACATCTATGTAGAAGAACACAGATCAGAAAAAAATATCGGTTCGAATAATTGCATTTCAGATCAATATGTTTTTGTTAGTGCTTGGTTCAGTGTGATATGAATTAAAACAGATTAACTACAAACTGAGGTACATAAAAGCTATGTTGAAAGAAATCAATGACACGTGTGACGAACAACATGGAGGCGATGATTTATACGGCTATCTGGTCAGAAACCATATGCTAATACTGAGGAAGACAAATGACCAAATTAGCAGTTGTGTAGTTGATAAAATCTGGTACCTGATAAATCAAATTCCCATTAGAATGTGAGGAGAATCCATAACTATTTCTGCTGTATCCAGAATAAAGAAAACACAAACGGTAAAGTTTGAGAAAACTCTATAGCTTTTTCAAAATTGGTTTCATCAATCCATCATCCATATACCTACCGGGGATTCGAAACCTGGACCTCATAGTCAAGACACTTTGAAAATGATGTGGTTAATTTGTCCATTTCTCTATATCCAACCAGCTGGTAACAATATGTGTCTCTCATCAAATAAAAACCTTTTCTTGTTTTTGAAAGGCTCTGGTTCTCAGATATTTTACAAATTATTTTTGTTTTCATGACATCGGCAGGAACCCCTTTCAACAATCCATCTCTTTTGGAGTTGCGTTATGTAAAGAGCAAATGAAGCGTGAACTGACAAGCTCGCAAGCGTTGGACAGCTATTTTGTCCCCAGGTTGAGTTTTATCAGCCCTGCGAATCCAGGGTTGTAAGTCAGTTGAAATCGTCCCAACCCGCTTAAAAGTTACATGAAACTACTGGAGGATTTGGTTCCAAACATCTGATGAATTTCTTTGCTCAAAGAGGAGGATAGTGCTGAACTACCCAAGGCGTGATGCATGCATTAGGCTCGCAATGCTCGGTTAAGCTAAATCGTGTAGAAGGAAATTGACAAAATATTTGAGCAGGAGCGATCAAATGGACCGTACGCTTGCGTTCTGTGTTCTGAGTTCCTGCATTCGATCTCGAATGGGGTCGATGGATTTCCGCTCCTGACGGAATAGCTGTCCAGTACCTTCCAGCTTTTCAATGCACGTTTCATTTTCTCTTTGCACGCCGAAATTTACAGTTCAGCCAAAACCAACTCCTCCATCCGTATCACGTCCGCTTTTGTCTTGACCCGTATGTATAACAATATTGACAAAAACATTGAAGATGTTGCATCGAGCAGGCTGGGGGAAGTAGTCCTGGGGTTTCAAAATTGGGACAACTTGAAGTAGGGTAAACAGTTGGTCTGAGCGGTGTTATAACTAATTAGTGATGTACAATATTTGACATTTTTAAACATCGAAGGAACAGATGTAAGACTGGGATTATTCCAGAAAATAACCTATGTACCACAAGATATGTATTCTATAAATAGCTAGGACGGCCCTAGTCGCACTAAACAAACGCTCCCGCAGCAAGTTAGGATATCAGAACATATGTGCGTACTTTATTAATTCATCGCAACTGGGCGCAGTTATTTCGCAGCAAGGTGAAGCTGAACAAATTTTCAGTGGGCATTCTTAACTTGAAGATTTTGCTTAGTTCATCACAATACATGGAATAAACTTTGCCATTTAAAATTATAAGCTGTCATACCGGTAGAATATGAATATGTACGCAGCGGGGATAAAAAGAACAAACTTAATTTTTAAATAGTAAAGTGAAACGACTGACATTTAACTTGCATTCATTCAAGCGCATTGTACGAAACACATTTCAGTCCTTCTATTTATAGCGTGCATTACTGATTCTATCCAGTTTCCGGGGTAATAAAATCAGTAGCCATTTATAGACAGCAGTGACAAGCAGCTTGAAAACGTCACCTAAGGGGCATATAGTAAAATCACATTTACTGATATACTTCCGTTGCGTAACATTGTATTGCCATGACAATGTGTGCGTGTTAGCCTGTTAGCGATAGCATTCAACTCGTTTGATTACTTGTTTTGTGTATTCATACCTTCTGGGACAAATCAGAGGTATAAGGATTGCAAAGAAAATCTACCAGGAATAAAATGAACCGAATTTTGACGAGATATGATGAATATTATAAGTTAGTATATTAGTACAATCCCTAAATTTATCGTCCGAGGACACATCGAATTTTCACCAATGGTGGTTGTATTATTGGCATGAAATTAATTTATTGAATTGTATTTAAACTGTTGTTAAATAGCTCAGTGGAAAAGGGGGTGCATAGGTCTCGTCAATTTGAGCGCTGTGAGAAATTTACCTGAAAGACAAAGAACGCAGAACAAAGGAGTACAAATTGCGGAACAGGTTTGAGCTTACCCCTTGAGTTCCCTCCAGGTTCGCACTGGATGTAGGTTGTAATCCGGCAACACCTGATTCGCCGACAGTCGTTGATGCCTCATTTATATGTTCTTCATTCATACTTCTATCCAACACTTTTCCCACTTGTAAACGGTTGTTCAGATCAATGGGCATCCCCTCTGAACGGATATTTGACGGGTCATTCTCTGCCGGCACTTTGAGCACATCACTGTGAGCCTCTATCGGTATCGAACTCGGAACATCTTCAATGTTCCCCTCCGTTTCATTCACCTTCTCTATTGGATAGTGTGCAGTGTGTTCAACATATTTCTGTACCTGGTCTACAAAAGGCGTCTGTTCACCTACCTCATCATTCATTTCAACAGGATAGAACATTGAAGCTCCGTTTACTTCCGACCCCAACGGAGTTGATTTTGCATTCTGAATTTCGTTAATTACTTGCACAATGGGAGAGTCAACGGTCCGTATCTTGGCTTCAACATTCGGATCATTTTGGCCTTGATATACGTGTAAGCGGTCATCCTGTTTCTTCACTGTCTGGTTCATACAGAGAGTTTCATCGAAACCTTGAGACGGATCAGCTGGAGCAATTGGTCTCGAGGTGCTTGTGATCGAGATAAGACTAACTTCCAAAGGTACTGTTGAGACCGAAAGGGGTGCGCTGATCGCTGAACTTGACTGTTCATCGAATGCCGGTACCGGCTTCACTGTTTGGTCCGTTTGCTTTGAGTTACGTTTCTCGTCGACATCCTTCTCCAATCGGTCAGCCACTATATCCATCACACCACTGACGATTTGGCGACTGAATTCATGCAACACCAACATATCGTCCTGATTCCCCTGATCGGAAATAGATGTAGAATTTTGAGGAAGGAATGCCGTGCGGTATGCGTTTCTCTCAAGTTTGGGCAGCGTTTCTTGAACGGCTGACAAAGTGGCTTGGATGGGAGATAATTCCGCTTCTTCTGAGTCTACCACGGCTGCGTCCTCAGTATGAATTTGTACACTTTGCTGGCATGGATTTTCAGCTAAGGAAATTACATTGTCCGCGCCACCAACATTCGGGGTTATCTGGTGACTGTTCGACTCCATGTTTGGTTCAATGTGATTCTGCTGTATGTATTTGTGTGACTCAATTTTGTTAGCATCCAATTGAGCAACGTTGTTGATTTCATAAACTGAAGAATGTGCTATGTCATTCTGCAAGGAGTGTGAAATATTAGCGACAATCTCTGATGGATTCAACGAGACTTCGTCGGCGCCATGTTTCTCATTGCCTTGAAAATCAACTTGTGCCGCTGATGCTTCACTCGGTCGTTTGTTTTCATAAGCGCTTGTGGATTCGTGTGCAAATAGAACATCATTATCTTCCGGCTCAGCTCGGGAGTCCAAATGCACTAGTCGTTGTTGTTTATCGTCAACAAGTTGTATCGTTTTGTACAAAAGTGATTGCCCTTCTGGAGCTGATCTCAATAGCTGAATTGAATCAACATTATTCCTTGAAATGATAGATTCCACTGGATAGTCTCTATCTTCCTGGTGCATATGGGGAGATTGTATTGGACTAGTACCTGCACAATGCGCCTCCTCTTCCGTTTTTGGTGGTAAAAAGGGTAAATCTTCCGTTTTCACTGATTCAACTACTTCTTCCGGAACAATTTCTTCTGGAAGGATTTTGGTGTCCTGTTTTGAAGATGTCGTTTCTTCATTCAAGGAATTACCTTCGGTTTCCGAAACATTACGTGAGCCGTCAGAAGAACCAAAAAGCTTTTGAGAAATCCATCTTGTCCAGGATGAACCTGTCTCTGTTGAAGCTTCCTCGTTTGAACTGCTAGGTTGCAAACGGGTTTCGTTATCAACACATACAGCGGACTCTGATGGCACCACAGAATCGACTGCGCAAATAGGTTGTTCTGTAAATTGTTGCATTTTTTCGTGGCACGCGTTTAATTCATTTGATAGAGGTCGTTGTTCCGTTTCAGGATTGTCAATGGCTGCGGCCATTGTCAGAGCACCGATGCTTTTGCTCGGTATTCTCGCTCCGGGTTCATCTACCGTAACCTGCTCACTAGATGACAATTTTCCGTAAGTGGCAGAGGTTTCATCGTGAGTTTGAGTCCTACCGCCTTCCTGTTCGTTCAAAGACGGCTGAACTGAAATTTCACAGATCGGTGCAGATAGTTCGCTGTCTACTCTGGTTTCGGTATGATTATCCAGCTGTTGACTGCATTCAGTAGCATTGGAAACCAGTTCCGACTGAGGAGCATTGCTGCTAAGTACAGAATGCTGTTTCAGTGCAGTAGGATATGTGCCTTGTGGCAAGGCAACCGCTTCCGATAAGTCAGGCACCGCATGTAAAGTTTCTGTCAATTCAGCATCCAGTCCGGAATCATATTCATTTATTTCTGGTACCGTTTGTGATTGAGATGCGGGTCTAATGTCAACAATGTGGACGTTGCTATCGTGATCTGAGTTTTCCACACTTGATACACCTGGTCTTGTTTCTGTCTTATTGTCAAGGTAATCGGAAGAGACATCGGATATCATATCTGAAATTGGCTCGACTGATCCTGTTCGCCTCTGTTCTATCGATTCCACAATGCTTGGTATTTCCGGCACACCAGCCAAGGAAGCATCGGCTTCACTCCAGTCGTGACTGACGTCAAATGGTTGGGAACAGACAACCTCACGCACTCCTTCAGAGGTGTCCGTTGCAGGTGGTGAACCAGGCCGCGGGTTAACCACTACTTCCGAGGTAGACAACCCAAATGCAGCAGGAGAAATAGAACCGCCTACCAGATCCGGATATACATCCGCATCTAAATCAGTCTCGAGTAACTGACTTGCACCTGACACATTTAATCCTGATATGCCGGTTAGATTGGATGGTTTTGCGTTACTATCCAGCTGGTTCATTGAATACGGTTCTGTCTGATCTAGATGTGATTTCTGCGAACGTAAGATCGTATCATCATCCTGATACTCTGATTCACAAGTTTCATGTGAATGGAACTCGTCGGTTTTTCCCGTTGATGTCAACTGGAATTCAAAATTGCTTGTGAAGTGAGGAGTCGTATTTGGTGACTGTAGGACCTGCGTTGAGTTGATGCTTGTGTTGATGGTATGTCGCATCAATTCTGGGTTGGCTGCTTGATCCACGGGTTGGTCTACTTCAGAAAATGTGCTAGTGGGTGACCTCTTATCTGTTTCGGATGAATCTCTCACTTCAGATGTTACATTGTGAATGGGGATAACTTCAACTTTTCCAAAGGTATCCACATGTTCCCGAATGGGCGTTGATTCGATCTGATCTGGAGCAACCTGTATACCAGTGATCAGGCTGGTTTCCAGTGGAACACACAATTGCGGTTCCGTTTTTTTCATAGTATCACCGGATTCAGATAGTGGTCGTTCAGCGGTCAAACAAGACGCAACCATTGGAGCAATCGCTGCAAACTGTTTTGTCTGTGTTGGAGGCTGTTCGAGTGTTTTCCAGAGTTCCGTATTGGTAGATGGGATGTGAGGTTTTGCGTTTGTTTCTATTTGCGTAGAATATGGACTGTTCTGTTCTGTCGACGAGAACCATGTCCGTGACCCGGTACCTGCACTGACATCTGTGGGCAACGGGCTCATACTTCCATGTCCGGAATCACGTCGGACCGAAGAGAGATTAGAAAAGCTAACACCGTTTGTTTGACAATTACCAGATAGATCGGTCTGTATGCACGCGGAAGACGGTGGCTCGCGCTGCCCCGAGTGTTTGGTGGTAATTCCCGGATCAGTATTCTCACGAGATATGTTTGAGGAAAAATCATCGACTAGTACGTGCATCAACTGACGTCGATAGGTACCGGGTGAACAGTAAAATGAATGAATAGCGCCAACAGATCCTGGAAAGTCATCGGAGACAGAAAGAAGAGAACTAGAATCTTGGGGATGAGAACGAGCACCACGTCCATCATGGATGTTTGGGCAGCTTCTCGCTCCAAACACATCGTTATTCTTCACCTCTAATGCCGGATCGACAGTCAGAAGGCCAGTGGAGAAACCGGCTAATGCCTTTAGGGTTCCGCCTAGCGCTTGTTTTGAGAGGGATCCAAACCTTTCATTCCGCTTATGGGGTCTTAAAAAGGTCTGAGCCCTTTGCTTCAATCGCTTCAGTACATGTTTGGATTCCACTTCTTCGTGATTGGGCTCAGAATGGACGTCGCTGGATGACTTTGCGCGCCTCTGACTGATTCTGAATCGTCCAATAGAAGTGCGATTTTCTGTCGCATCCGGATCGGCCTTTGCAGCATTACTTGAAGACGGAACCGGATTGGCTTCGGATTTCTCATTATTGCGCTTTTGACTCCGGATTGCAAAGGTGGGTTTGGGTAAACACATATGCTTCTGATTTTCTTCCGACTCTAAGTGATGAGTCTCCTTGTGAATTTCGTCAAGCGGATTGTCAAGGTTTACGCCCTGTTCCTCCTCCTGTTCCTCGATAACCGACTGAGTTTCACTGTCTGGATGGTAGTAATAGGTCGGGTGCTTGTAGTCCACTGAACGTCGGATGAAAGGACTGAAGAGAGCACTACTCGGAGCTGAGTGATCAATAGATCCATGTGAATACTCTGGCAGAATTAATCCGCCTGGAGCTGGCGGGACACTACTACTGCGACCGAGTGCCGAATCGAATGTGTTCCATGAATCAGGTAAACCGTTTGAAGCAGTTCGCACGCGTGTACGCGCACCACCAACGTGAGAAGCGGATTGGCTGAATGTGAAATGAAGACTATTGGCTGAACGAGGTCGACTGCCATTGGTCCAAATATCCCTGTCACTTTGAGACAAATTTTGTAAACTCATCGGTAGCAAATTAGATTTAGGGCTTTGCTCGGTGATTTTCACAGCGAGGGGACGACCACGCAAATCAGTGATTGACACCCAGTTAGGATCTCCACTCATGGGAGTATGGGACCGAGATTGGATTCGCGAATTGTCCATGCTTCGAGACCAGTACACTTCTGTAACAAACAAAGTGGAGAAAATTTGAAACAATGAGTGAAATTTTGATGTAAAACATTCTTAGTTTTTAAAATTTCCACTGATTTCAGCCAAGCATACAGCATATTCACATTTTAATTGTAGGTCCTATTAAAGCGGAAATCAATAGAACAAACACAAGGTATCAATAGCTATGCAATTAATGAGGGGTAGTAACTTAATCATCAACAAAAATTAACTCAGGAACCATAAGGTTTCAGCTGTATGTTTACTCAATGTTTAAATGAGTGAATTTGGGCAATATGATTATATGCAATGTGCAATCACTTCGTGACTTCTTCAGCGGCAAATTTTGAAAACTATGAAGAGTAATATTAATAAACCGATCTCTCTACAAATATCCGGTAAATAGCGTTGAATGTTTTCGTGGAAAAGGTAAAAGAAAACTTGAAACAAGCAAACGTCATGAGCTGAACACTTCTTATGGTTTTGTTCTGTGGTCATCAAATTAATCGTCACACTTTGGAAAGTTTAGTGTGGAAAGTGTTTGTAAGTTAGAAAGAAAAACGTTGAGTAACTTCTGCCACGCGTGGACGCGTTGATTTAAATGCCCATGGTGATATTCAGATGATGTTCAGACACAGTATTTATACGTTGAAAAATATAAAGTTATAAAGATTCAGATAGGGAAATGTGGAACGTATTTTATCATATGGTCAACTGTGTCCTGTCCATGGTAAATGAAGAATGACACAAGAAGCTAGGAAGCAGTTTTCAGATTATCTACCTGGTGGTGACTCACCTGCCGGGCGAATCCCTCAACATAATTTAAGAACTTATCTGAGACCTCATTGGTAGAACGTAAGCATACTACCCATTCGATCGCTGGCTGTCGGTATACAGCTTCTTAGATTTTCTGGGTATGCTTTATTCGTTTTTTGGACAAAGAGGTCCACCAAAGGAGCATTCGAAACACCCTGCTCCGTTGCTTACCATGGAAATGGATTTTTCTCAAATTTGATGAAACGTAATTGGAAATCGGGTAAAAGATTTCAATAAAATAAAGTTTGCGTCTCCTTCAGTAGTTGAACTTTAGTTGATAAAAGAACAGTTTTAGAAGTATTCAGCTTTGTTGCTATTATTTTAATGCTACGCCTAACCCGCTGAACTACACAGGGTTCAGTTCATCAAACCGCTGATCTGTTGCTGCTTACCTAAGGAGTACTCAACGGTCATGGCAATGAATATCAATCCCTGTATTGCTCCTCATACTGAATTGTATAAGCAAAATGCATAAAGCAGTTGGGGATGCATCGGTTGGTGTAAGTAAAATAGTGGCCGGTGAAACGGGTTGATGTTGTCCCAAGTCTCGTATCAATGGATAGTATTCGAAGCAGTAGTGTGATTAAATCACATTCTCCGTTATTTACGTGTGAAAATTTTCTGCCAAAGAGGGCTACGTTTCCACGATTGTATAGGCTCCCTAAAGTGCATAATTTTTGAGTGCTTTACTGAGAGATGAGCAAACACAACGCGCGCCTCTAGTTTAACGAGTATACCTATTGGAAGAAGAATGATGTAGTTATGGGAACCTGCTTTTCCAATGTTTTGAAATCTGAAATAAAAAGCGGTCTGTTTAAAAAAATGCGTGTTGGAAAAGCGTACGTACACCAAAGTGTGTATGTGGACGACTCCGTAACCAACTGTAGAAATCTACTACAGCATTTCAAGCTCCAAATCGGAATTTATGAATCGCTTTAGAAAACGAAACAAAAAAGCCACCAGGATATCTAGATATTTGCCTAACCTCCTGTGATTACGGGATGATCAGATGATCAGTTCAAAGAGAGGCAATGTGAAATGGACAGTACATTCATTTCCATATATTTGTGCCACTCAGTATGAAGAAGAACTCAAAAACGAGGAGTTTCCTAAGAATGAAAACGATGACACAAAGTCTGTGTACATCTCTTGATCATT